ATAGATAGATAGATAGATAGATAGATAGATAGATAGATAGATAGATAGATAGATAGGAATGCCTCCTGGTCACCCCCAAAAATAGGTGTGATGTTGCAATTTTACCAACTTAGAAAGCATTATTGTGGCTTCACTGATATTATATTGTAGCTCCCTAGTACTAACATCATGAAAATATCCAGGAAAAAGATCATTTATAGTAGTCTTTTCTGTAAGTAGTTTAAGTCATGTGGCATCTTATTAAAGGGTTGTCCACAAAGTCTAATTGATATTATTTACTGATTGATTGCAATGTAGCTATGTTCTTGATCTTCAGACTTTTGATCAAAAAGATCACCTTCTTGAGTCATGCTTTTGTTTTAACAGAAAATGTGTGTCAAGCAGAGATTATTCGTGAATTCATTCGGAAGCAGCAAGGCTCCATCTCTTGTGTCTCCATGGTAAAGATACCGCGTGTGGAATGTCATGGCACGTGTGGGAACAATCAGTGTTGTGTCGTCCTCCGCAGCAAAAGGCGGAAATACAGCTTCCAGTGTGTGGATGGCTCCTCCTTTACAGAAGAGCTAGAGAGACACGTGGAGTGTGGCTGTGCAAAGTGTTTATAAGCATACGATCGGCCTCTTTGCCCTTTGTATCAAATCTGCTTTCAAAAACAGGACCTATTTACTTTTAAGTGAAGAAGAGAATATTAAGTATATTGTAAAATAAGCAAAAAAAGTTATTTTTATTATAAAAAGTGACTATTTTCATCTTTTATTATATAAAATCTGACCATTCTGGGTATATGTATCATATATGAGTTATTTTTACTATGGATTTTTTTTTTTTTACAGTTGGTAAAAAAAATGGGAAAAATATTCCAAACCTAAACACAGGGATTAAAAAAAAGAGTATAGTTGATAAGCTTTGCACAGTGGCCAGATGTGAAAGGAATTCAAACTGTTTGCCACAGAATTAATGAAACAGGAGTTGAAATGGTCTGGATAGATACACAGTAAGAGCTATAGCATTCTGTCATCATTTTTGTCCAGGAATACTCAGTTAATATCCCTCTCTCTTGAAAATGAGAGTGCTAGTTATATTTGTCACTGTTGTGATTTGCTTGATACCATTGCTGAGCGCGCGCACGCATGCACACACACACACTGTTACAACACTGCCGTAGCTTGGGCCTTATGCATAGATGTTGTTATCCACACATTAATGCAATGGTAATAGTAATGTATTTTGTCTTCTGTATATGATTGATTCTCACACAATTACATTTATCATATGTTGGGGACCTAGCACAATCACTCATACATAGTAAATTTTGAAAATGTATTCTTTATGATTTTTTAGAGTAACAAACTGAAAGTTTTGTGAAACTCATAATGAATACCAGAGGGAATTATCCAGTTACCTGGCACATAGTTCCTTGTCCTTCCAGCCTGTGAACTAGCCCTCTCTTGCTGACCCCCTGTATCTGCATAGGCAGAGCGTCTTGCATGCATCCACAAGCAAAGAAAGGGTGAGAAGATAATTTCCTGTGGTGGTGAGCTTCTCATTTGCCATTCCATGTGATTTAGTTTTTTGGGCTTCTAGTTACAAGGCAGAATGGTAAAGAATGCACTGAAACACTGCCTTACCTGATCATGACAATCCATTTAAAAAGTATTTACAGAGATATATTTTACTTAATCCAAGGGTGTGGTTTGTGTAATTATTACCTAAATATCAGCTCTTTGCAAATGACCACTGCATATGTTGAGGTGGCTATGATTTTGCAAGTTGTAAGAGGTGTGTTTTTTTTTTCACCCCCTCCAGATATGGGTTGAAGCCACATATGGCAATTACCTGAAATAGTTTCTGACTCCCAGCATGTATAAGTCTTCCCATCAGCCTTGTCTCCACCTGTGGCTGGACTGCTAGCTATGACATGGGGAGTTCTTAAGTGATAGCAATATAGCGCATGTTACGCTTTCCACATGAGAGAGCCATGTTACCAAAGCTGTTTCACTTAGCCCTCAGCATTCTATCATCGCGTCTTAAAAAAAGAGCTTTGGAAAGGGGAATGTTAACAGAAGGAGACATCTAAGAAAGCTGTACTTCTTCAGCACCGTAAATGCCCTTCGCATTTTGCACAACTGCGTCTGGCTTCTTTTCTCAGATTGCTTTCCTTTTGCTTGGCATTGTAGTAGTAATGGGAAAGCCTCCCTTTCCAAGGAGCCATGGATGAGGGTGAGATAATTTTCAGAAGGGCTGGAAAAAGGGAGAATGGGAAACAGAGCTCCCCACGTCCCAATAACGCCCTGCAATTGTAGCAGAATTCCTCAGTTTGGGACCAATAGGCCATAGCCACATTCATCAGGAGCAACAGTCTAATACATTTGCCTTTGAAACAGCCAAGAGAATGAATGCTCTTGGTGTCTATTCTACTAAGAACAGATTTTCGTTTTCTTATCACACTTCATGCATTCACATTTCAGAAGTCTGAAAACATTTAAGAGTCTTTATTCTATTACAGTCTTTTGAAAGCCACAATAGTTTGTTCAGATTTCCTTATGGATTCTCAGGATAATTTTAGGCAGGAGGGAAATAACTGATACAATGGTTGCCTTTCAGAATAAATGGTAATACATGGAGCCTGCAATCAGTGTAACGTAAAACAATCACTAGTTACTTTGCCAAATAGTGATTGAAATAATACAGTTCAGGAGCTGGCAGGGGAGAAAAGGGTTGCAGTGGAGAGTGGGATTTGTTATTTTGAGCACAATATGTGATCTGGAAGCAGCTGGAATTTATAACACAGAAATGCACCACTGTCTGCAGAGACCAAAAGTTTGCAAAAACAAATGCAGCAACGTTCTTTTGTGTGAATAAGACTTCGACACAAGGCACCCTTTCCCTAATGCTTTCTTCTTTTGCACGGCATCTGTTACCCGAAAAGCTACTGCCCCTGTTGCAGAGTATGATAATTCAGCCAAAATAGGCAGATCTTAGAGTTGAAATGCTACTAAAGAATGTATACTCCTAAAAAGGAAACGAAAAAATTCTGTATTAAGATAGTAACAAAGAAGGTACAGTCTATACAATTCATTGTCTTCTTTTAGCAAAATGACATCTTTGATAAGTTCAAAAAAAAAAAAAAGCCATCAGCATCTTGTGAAATAATCCCAAAAATGTATACAGAACTTCCAAGCTGAACAAGAATCAACCACAGTGGAGTAAAACTCGCTGCCTTCCATCGATATATATTTGGATTAGAAGACTTAGAAGAATAGACACTTTATTTGCTTGCCGCCATTAGATAGTTCATGCTGTATTGTGTTTCAATTGATGATACGGAATCTAATTTCTTGGTCTCTGTTTTTTTTAAGTGCCAAAAGATCTATGAAGTTAGTTTAAAAAGTGTTAATTAGATCTCTCTAAGCTGTCAAAATGACAGTGCGTTTCAGCTATTGTACGTGGAATGCAGTAGCCTACTTTTTAAAATTAATATAAAGAAAATTGTTGTTGTGGATTAGTATGAATTTTGTGTATTTTACCGGATTGTCCTATTGTGATGTAATAAATTTAAGTAAATTGTTGGGTTACGGATAATTGTACCTTGTCCTGTGTTGCTATTTTTCTGTCAGTTGGGCACATATCCACGTGCTTTGATTGACTAAGAACACATTCCAGACATTCTTGAACCTGTTAGCCATCTCTTGGGCTAGGGCCACACAGGAGAACGTGTATAATTTAAGAGGTGCAATGACCCCTAAAAACTGATTACTCTGTCAACTGACAGGAGACTTTTATATAGTTAGTTAATTTCTGATCTCATGCAGGTGAACCACAAGTGGAAACAATCTGAGCTATTAAAACACTGAGCAGAAGAAAATCTTTAATATATTTTTAATTGATCGCTTTTAATGTATTTACAAGGTTTATTTATTTATAAAATTTATATACCATTTCAGTGTAATTGGGCTGTAAATGAAAATCATGTTAGATTTAAGGCAAATGTGGACATCTGGCCCAAGGTATAGAGATGGATGTTTTAAGTTACTATTTTCAATAAACCATAAGAAACTACTTTTTTTTTTTTTTTTTGGTCAAAAGGAACAAGTTCAAAAGATGCATATAGGTTAAACATTAACCTAAGTATGCCTATCTTAGGTCATGTGGATTTTGTCTTTAACAAACAAGCATGAGAAGATGGATATATGCAAAACTGTCCCTCTGTGTGCTGGAACTGTGGGACTTGGGTGATTTTCTTCCTCTTTCGACTGATGTCATCTGAACTTTTTGAAATATGAATGGATGTTATACAGATTGGGTATAACTGCAAACTGAAGAGAATGGTCCTGTAATGGTTATAGTTAAGAAAAGGTGGACTACAAAAGAAGACCGACAGTAGGCATATGCAATTAGCTCTGATGTACAAATAAAGGTTCCTCTCTACCAAGGATAGCTATATATTGTAACTTTTATTATTTTGCCCCAGTCAGGATAATGATTTTTTCTGTATACCACTCTTCTCCTTAAAAGAGCCCAGAGTATACTACAAAAGATTTAAATAGGACGTCCAGATATCACACTTTTTCACAAACATACAGCCAACACAATCACATGTATTTACATTTGCTATCCCTGAAACACAATCTTTAAATAATTGTAGAAAACTTATGCAAACATCTTTCTGAAAATTATGTCAGCATTAAAATGCATTAAACTTAAGATTGGCTTATGTTACTATATTTTTCTAATGATTTAAATTTAATTATTTCACATCAGCCTCCACTATTATTATTGCCAACCCCATGCTCACATTTATTTTATTTTATTTAGCCAACTTATGGTCCTTATATCTGGACAAAAAGATTTGAGACCCCTCTTATGAACTAAAGCAATTATGAGACCTTCTGACAGTCCAGAATAAAGAAAGCTTTCTTGTTTACTCAGGGCAGTCATGTTAGTTATTTCATCAATTCACACATCTGGTGGTAGGTGGAAAATAAACAATTCCAACACAAAATAGTATATGGGAAAATGACCCTTCTATTCTCTGCCTTCTCTCTGTGTAATCAATTGCCACAAATTCCTTTTGTATCAGGTTGTCTCAATAGTAGAAGTCAGCAAGACCAAAACAAAGTTACTTGCAGTAAAGGAACAAAATGGCATAAAATGGGAGACTACATCTCAGATTCCCCCTTTCATTAGGAAGAATGAATCCCACCCCCCTTTTTTTCTTTGTTCTTTCTTTTTTTAGTAAAAGAATAGTTACCACTGTAATTCTTCTCATCATCATTACCTTCATTTTACTCCCAGGAAGGACTGCTTATTAACCACTTTTACTTTTCAGAGGGTTCTATCATACTTATTTTATCCCTTAGGCAGTTAAGCGCCTTCCGTAAAATCTCATTCAGCACATTACCTGGGAAGAACACATTATCCTCTCAAGAACCAGTTGCAAAACTGCAAACATTCTTCTGGAATCTTTCATGATTCAAATATTGGTCAATGGGTTAAGCAGAAGTGAGTTATCAAAGCAATTAGCAGCCTAATCAATAGAAAAGGATTTCATTTCACAGTGCTTTTAGTTGAACGTAGGGTAATAAAATAGGAGATGAAACATCATGCATTCCAGAAAGACAGTATGTTGCTACAAATCTAGCAACATAACATTAAGTTTTCACTTTGCACTTAGGGCTCATTCCATACTGATGTGGTGGCATTCTAGTAATGTCATATGTTATGAGGACTATATCACTTTTCACTCAGTAGAATTATTTTTAAAGTGAAGCTAGTCTAGATCTTATCAAGAGCCCAAGTGAATAAACTTGGCAATCCTGAAGAGAATATATGCATAAAAATAAGTGGGAGAAACTAACAAAAGCAGTGGTTCATATTTATTAGCACCCACACAACTTGCTGCAAAGTACAGATAGCAGAATACTAATAGGTAGCAAAATTAACAGAAAAATAATTACACACAATTCTTATCTTGGCTCATTCTCTTGAAGAGCACCTACGTGCTCCATTAGGCACTTGGGAAGAGAAGATGACATGATAGGATTGAAGCCTGTAATAGGAACATGATCAGGGAATTAGATGAACTACATCCTAGGATACTGAAGGAACTCACTGATGGGGTGGGCAACTCGATATGCATTATCTCTGAGAAATCCTGGAGAACTGGTAAAGTACTAGATGACAGAAGGAACACAAATATTATCTTTATCTTCAAAAAAGTGGTGGTGAGGTGGAGAGAATCCAAGGGTCTATAGACTTGTCAGTCTGACATCAGTTCCTAGGAAGATTGTGTTGGAGACTACAAAGCAATCTCTAACCATCTTGAGAAAGATGCAATTACCACAGGTCAGCATGGATTTCTTAAGAAGTCTTGCCAGACAAAACATACCTCATTTTTTGATTGGATAACTTCCTAAGTATATTGGATATATTATATCTTAACTTCAGCAAAACATTTGAGCAAATACCCAATGGCATTTTGCTTAGCAAGCTAGTTAGGTATGGGCTGGATGCCATGACAATTAAATTGATAAATAGATGGCTTAAGAACTGTATTAAAACAGTCTTCATTCATGGTTCTTCATGAATGGGGCACTGAATGGGATACGACAAGGTTGACATGGGTCCTATACTCATCATCATTTTTCTTAATGTTGGTGAGATTTTTCAAATAACAGAAAAGTTTTAGAGAGTGCAGAGGAAGAAGAGACACTATTCTGTACCTCTGTGCTACTCAACACTAGTAGCTCACTGCCTGCCTTTTCTGCCACACTCACCAAAAGCTTTGGCAAGCAAAGCTTTTTCCATTGTCCTTACCAAAACTTTTGTGGAAGACTAAACATTGATTCCTCTGGCAGTACTTGCCAAATCTTTGAGAGTGCTGCCAGAGAAGCTGTGAAGCAGAGCCGGATGAAGCAATATGATTGCTTTGTTCTTAGAATTAAGGTGGTCACATTGCTTCACAAGAGAGTGCTTCATTCAAACCTTCTTCAAAATGACTCATCTCACAGACCTTACCAATTGTTCAGAGGGTAGCATGCTTCCATTTACTGGACATATTCAAGTAGATGGTGGACAGATACGGTATTATCATCTCCAAGCAAACCCATTTACAAACCCAATCTTATATATCCTTTAAACTTTCAAGCACAGAAAGAATTATTTTATTTTATCGTTCTTCTCTTAGAATATGCTAACCATGTATAGCCATATTAAATAATGAACAATGTATCGTAATGCCATGGGATTGAAATAACGTGTGGTTTCTTGCCATGCATTTGTGTGAATGGACATGTACGAAAGAGACCAATCCAAAACAAGGGAAAAAGGCAAAATTATTTGCTGAAATAGATTTCAGCCTATGATCATATGGAAAAGTACCACAATTTCTGTGCTAATTTAATACCCTCCAGAGAAACACCTACCAAACATGTCCTTCCCAAACTTTGTAAGATGTAGCCCATCTCTTTCCAGGAGCCTTTGTGAAGGTTGCAAAGAATCCAGACACTTTTTGGCAACAACTATGTAATTAATTGTTGATTTCTAAGATCCTTTTCTCTCTCTCTCTCTCTTCTTGCACCATAACCCTCAGTGGAAAGATTGATGAAAATTGCTGAAAAGTAGAAAAATGTTTGGGAACTGGAAGGGATATAATAAAAGTACCAAGGTGGTCAGGCTAAGCTTTGATGGACTGTCAAACCTTGTTGGAAAGTATATTAATGTAGAGGAACTGTAGGCTTTGGGAACCTTTACACAGAACAAGCATTCTGTGTAGGCATTCTGCCTCAATTTTCCTGAAACTCAAATCTAGCCTGGTCAGCTAGACTTTAAGTTGGGAAGGTATACATGGTGGATGAATATGTATGAATGGAGGGTCTTAAAAAAAAAAAAATAGGAAAGTGAACAATAAAAAAAATTGCAAACCTGTGTTTGTTTCAATGTGTCTGAGTCTCTGGATAAAAAAGAACAAGTAGCATTGCAGGTGTTTTCTGGGCCTTGGTGAAATCAGCAGGATCCAAGATGAGGCACTAAAACAAGCTAAGAAGTGAGAAAATTATGGGAATGGGAACTGGGTAAACCTCTGCAGCAATTAGGAAACACTCCAAAGAGTGTGGGAAAGACTCCGGGACACAGCCAATAAATGCTTCTAGTATGAATGTCTTAGAGTGGGGGGAAAAAAAGGTGTGTGCCTTGCAGTCTCAATCTGAGAAACCATTATGTCCTTAGCTTAAAAGAAATGGAGCAAGAGTTTGAAGAATACCGTGATGCTGTGAAGTAAGAATGAAGTTTGTAAGATGCTCAGGAGGTTGGAAGTTCTCTGAAGTCTGGAAAGCTGTCAAGGCCATTGGGTGAGTGCTTCTCAAGGCATTCAGGAATGCATATGAATGGCTCCAGCAGCTCTGTCAAAGGTGAAAGATTTGCAAGACGAGTTAATCACAGCTAGACAGCAGTCAAGTCTGCTGCAAAAAACCTGATTGCTTCCTAGCATTACAATGATCAGGACAAAGAAAAGATGCTGTCCACCACTATCTGGCTAGTGAAAACAAAATGGGAAGAAAAAGGTAATAAGGGGGAGTAAGTGGCTTTGTGAGGCCCCTTGATGAAATCCATCTAGTAGGGAAAAACTGTTCCTGCTTTGTCCTTAAAGGGATGGATCGGCGTCGAAGAAAATTCTGGGGAAGGGGCTTGGGGAAGTACCCCTTGACCCATATCCTATTAACAACATACAAGAATCATCCAAGATTTCACAGAAACTGGATTAGCTCACAGAGTAACAGAGTGCTCTTGAAGTTATTGGAGGCACTGAAATTTCTCTGTGCTGAACCAACAACTGAATGAGGTCATTTTACCTGGATAGCTACAGCTGGGGGGACATGCTATTCTGATCCCCTGGACTGGGAAGAATGGAGGACAGCAGCTGTGCAAATGCCATTTCCTATCAAGGATTCCAGGGCTCGGATACCAAGCAGGTTGGAGTTGTTTACGACTGGCACGCGGACCTATTTGATGAGGAC